CTTGAATTAATTCTGCGCTCCCCAGCATGCCAATTTTGATTCCCTATTCCTCTGCTGTTTTTTTTCCCATTTGTTAATGTACAAATATTAGTAAAAAAAAAGCACAGCATTAAACAGTTTTTCTCCTTCCTTCTCTGAAAATGTCATTTACAGTAACTGAGCCAGGGCTGGCTCAGTCCACGGTTACTGTTAGAAATGGAGTAGCTATTAATCTTTTGGACCTCTCCTTCTCCTATTTCCCCACTTGCCTAAAAAGTACTTTGTTGCAGCTGGAAGGCTCCTGTGTGATCTGCCTGGTAGCTGTGTAGTGGATTACACACAAAAGAAAGGCTTTCAACAAAGGGAAAGCTAGGGAGGAGGTGGAGGCAGTATTGAAATCGCTTGGTTTGAGTTATTTTAGCTGTTCTTTCTGTGGCCTCATCAGCTGAGAGGATGCTCTGAGACTTGACCTGTCATTACTGTGTATTTAGTAGCCAGATGTGCTGCTTTAAAAATACATCATTTAGTTTGCGTGTACCTGTGAGGAATAAATGGCACTGCCAGTGCTCTTAGGAGTGTAATTTGAAGAGATAAATATTTTTACCTACTTTGTTTTCTCCCATCGTGCTGAGAGTACGAGTCTGGGTTGAAATTAAAGGACAGTCATCTGCTATGGACTGCTGTGGGTGTAAATACTGGCACTGGCACAAGGGCAGGCTGGCCACACTTTCCAGAGAAAGTATTAAGAAGAAAGAATAGGCTGTTGTCAGTTCTGGATGGATTCTTTTTGAGAGAGGCTGTTTGCTTTGATGGTTTGTTGGATTAAAAAAATAAATAAAAAATCAGATTAAGTTTTAAAAAAAAGAAATAATTTGGCCACTTTTTTGACTGTTTGGGCTTAAAAGTGATGTTGTGATGAGTGGAATAATAGTTTTCAGTCTCGACCTTTGGTCAGCACTGAGATGCATAAAGGATTGGATGAGGGGTTTGTTGTTTGAATTGTGGTGTGCCTTTTGTGTTACTGACCAAAGACTGATAAGCTTCCTTTCTAGCCTACGAGTAAAAGTGTGCTGAACTGATGGGAAATGGTCCTCACTGTCTTAGGAAAAACTGCAGAACAATACACAATTATTTTGTGGCTATGTCTTTTAGCAAACAGGAGCAAAAGCAAGTCACCCATTCATGTACAAGTAAAACTAAGCAGCACTATTTGGAATAAATGTAGATGCTGCTTTTGTAGCACCAGTAACACTTTCCTTTCTTCCTTCAGGTTCCTGATTGTTACAGACCATTTGCTGCAATGTCCAGAGCTGGTAAAAGCCCTC